AATCAGTGGACCTTTCAGTTTATGTATTAATATCATTCATTAATTTGAGTTTTTTTTTTTTTTTTTTTTAACAATTTCAGTGTCGTTTGATCGATTTTCTTCTGCTGCGTACTGAATGTAAAAGTGTAATTTTGAGGGTTTGTAGACAAGGTAAAAGAAAACTTACAAGATATTATTTTCTTTGAATATGAATTGTTTTTGCTGAAAAAGTATTTAATCTATTTATGGTCAAATTCAAGTAGTTTATACAAAGTCTGAAATAAATGTCGTTTACAGCCTTCAATCAAATCAAATCAAATTGATATACCATACTACAAATCTATATATACTTATATTTCCATGTATGCACAGTATGATGGTATATGATAACTCCCCATGGGGTATAGTGTATACATACTAATACTCTTATGGTGTTGTGTTGATTCTGTTAGGTGTGTACAATGCTGTATTTCTGTATTAAGGTTTATTTTTAATTTTGTTTTACTTAGCAGTTAATCCCATAATACTACTGTATATAGCATTGTCAACTGGAAATTTTTTTTAATCAATAGAGAGACTTCGCGACCTTACGGAAATGATAACGAATACGAATAAGTCATCCATGCCTAAAACATTCTTAATGATACATATCGTTGATTGATTCAAAAGTCATGGATCTTCTACGTTATGACAGATATGCTATTGAAATATGACAATGTAACCGTTAAATCATCAGTAACTACTTCTTTACTTTACAGCTCTTGTGCCTGGTCAACAATGTAATCTAGCAACCATCGCTAGGATGTTTGACAAGCTCAACCATGTTTATAGGAACTACTTAGAAATTGAACAAAATTCACAACAGGTGAGAAAAACAAAATGCGCAATAGATAGGTGAGATAAGCTACTGTAAATGTAAATCAGCTGAGACATACATACATACATACAAATACATTACATCATTTATAGGGTGCTATTTCATGAAGATCAGAGGGCTCAAATTGTAGACTACTTACATAATGGCTCATTTAGTAACTTTATTCTCCCCTAAGGGTCTCTTCGTGTCTGAGCTGCCTGGTAAACCGGTACCACTACTCTCGCCTGTCCACAGGCTGCAGGGACTGAATGAACCAGTACACTAGGGTAACCCCCCTCCCCTACTCGTTTCAAAGAAGGTACTGTGTTCTTTATATTGTACATGAACCAATTGTACACTGGGCCTATGGTTTATAGTCCTTTTTCGAGAAGGCTTGTTCCACCTGCAGAACCACAGACGAGCATGCCATTCGAACCAGCGCCAATATTATGGCTGTAGGTTGAGAATCATAATTGAGAACAGGTAGACAAACAAAATGGCTATGTGTGAGTCAAACAATTGTTCATTCATTTTTCAGGTTGCTGATGCTGGTATGTCACGCAGCGTTTATAAGCGACCAGTCAGAAGCCAAGCTGTAATAGATCAGTCAGAAATGTACACGCACGTCTTCTCAGTGTTTGATGATGTCAAGGTAAAAAGTACATACTCTGTACGAGATTCTTTGGTCAAAAGAATCGGAGGTAAACCCATAACTCTGTTGATTACATTAAACTGTGTTCAGCTGAAGATACATTGCATTGTCATTGACATGATCTGTCGACAACTCCCTCGAGTCTACTACTGCTGGTGTTTCTGAGATGGGCTTCCATCCAATTACTAGCATTGCCTAGCATTGTTCTGATGTGAACCAGTGTTTCAATTCAAAGTTTATTGTCTTCATAAAAATAAAGAAATTTGTCGTCGGTACACACTAGATACATATCAACACAGAACATAAAACAAAACAAGTGTCAAAATAATTAATTAACTAGTATATACCAACTGTTTAATACCCAGGCAGCATCGGGGGGCTATGAGGTACTGCCATCTGCATTTTGATAACCCAGACTGGACTGGGGGATATATAGTTACCCTTCTCTAATTCTGTACTGGGAAACAGAAATTAGTATAATATAGCTGTTTCCCATTTTAAGCTGTATAAAATATGATTAGCTTGGATAGGTATTCCAAACACGTGTCAATCAACAGAACTGTAGTCATGTTGCAAAAAAAAAAAAACATCCAACAGGATAAAATAAATTTGTGTAAGGAAATAATGTGAATTGTTTTTATCATTCAAAAGTTATAAAATGTAAAAAATAAAATGTATTTTATATTTTATCAACAGGAAATAAAGTACAAGTTCATAGTTGCTGTACTCGTGGAATACATGAGGTCATTAAACCACCTGCAGATACCTGTCCAGGTCAGTTAATTTGTATTTCATTTTTACATTTGTTTTGCAAACATTCCATGTGTTGCAATCTAGCTAATTATTGTAGATACCTAGTAAAGATTACTATAATGTGACTGGCTCTCGCAAAACCAGCTGTTTGTAAAAAAAACTCACAATTGATTAATGTTTTTATATTCTTAATATACTTTTCAGTTAGAGTTAGTGATTGATATTTTTTTGCAGAAATGTTCTTCAATATATCTTTTTTTATAAAATGCAAAAACCTGAAAATATTCAAAATTTTGATTCTCAAATGTTTTGAGTGCTTGTGCAAAATTATAATTGCGACAAACATCGGGTTTTGCCAGATCTGGTCACATATTTAATTGAAACATCCACCAATAAGGATGGTCTTACCTTGGTGAATGTGACGTGCTTACAACAATAATGTCTCATAGAGTGATGTTTTGTTTTGTGGATGTTTTTTCGGCGCCTAGCGGGATCTGTGATTCATTAGGCGCTATATAAATACAGTTTCATTATTATTATTACCTAGGAAAATTCAGATTGTTGCATTACGAACTTAGCCTAGATTATTGCAGCCTCCATGAGTGAGGAAATAATTGCAACATTGATAAATAAGGGCTGACCTGGGAAAATATATTTTTTGCATTATTGACTGGCCTAGATAACCGCTTACTTTGGAAGATCTAGTTTGCAGCATTATAAACTTACCTGGTTTTAATTGCTGCATCCACCATGGTTGGATTTTTGACAAATATATATGCTTAAGTGGGAACGCCCTTCCACCAATGTGAGCTTACCTGGACATTCGCAAACCCAGCACAATGTGGAAATTATACATCACATCCACTACTAAAAGAAAATATTGTAATATTCAACACTGTAGACTTCCCTGTGTAAATTCTTACTTTAGATTCACCTGATATTCTAGGTTTTACAGGTATAAATAAAAATTACAATATTGAATTGGTGAAATGAGTTGAATTGTTGACAACCATATTGATATCAAGAGTTGACCAAAAGACTACTCTTTGGTATGTACTATGACTTCCAACCAGGTCAACTTTTCAAGGCTTATCGATGGATAATGTACCATGTTCTTCTATTATTCTGTCACTTTACCAAGCTTTAAAATACAGGATTTTGTTAGAATTGAACCCAGAACCTTGGGATGTGAAGGTGGATGCCTTTCCACTTAACCACAATGTTCATTACAATACCATGTTTATATTTTACAGCATTATCTCTATGAGCTTGTGATCAACACCTTAGTTCAGAACAACTGCTTCTACCAGTTGCACCAGTTCCTGCAGTACCATGTACTGAGTGATTCCAAGCCTATAGCTTGTTTACTGCTGTCACTAGAGGCTGTCTACCCTCCTGCCTACCAACTTGCTCTTGATATGCTTAAGGTAAGCAAGCTAGGCCTACATGTGCTATTGTGAGTGACTGCTAGACCGAAGCAATTCCATGCGTTTACAGGAACTTAAAGCCTGTTGCTTGTTTATTGCTGTCATGTATCAACTTGCCCTTGATATTCTAAAGGAACTCTATAAACGTACCTTCATAATTATGCACTTAATATTATTCCTAATTCAATTCGTTCTTTTAATTTTATTATTTTTGAAATGTAGATTTAAGTAATTTATGCTGAAGCTTAATTATTAGATTGGATTTATATGGCGTAAACACTAAGGATAACCCACAGAAGTCTGAAGAAGACTTATTTCCAGTGGGGTCCACCAGAAGACAATCCCCTACTCTGTTCCAAAGAGTGTACTGCATTCTTTAACATGCACATGTAGCCTAATGCACACAGGACAAATGGCTTAAATGTCTCGACCGAAAGACGGTGCGCTATCATAACTTGTATTTCAGCCCTCCAGCTGAAATACAAGGAGAGGCAGCAATAGGAATTGAACCCGGGGACCTTGAGATCTCCACGTTCAGAGCACACACAGTGACTACCACCAGTTTAGCTGACTGAGCTAAGCTGCTCTCACTGAGCTAAGATGTTCTCATACTGCATGTTGTTTTGTGGATGGGTTACCCTCTTGAAATATGCTTTCAAATTTTAAAAATTAAACTCCTTAAAAAAGTCCCACCTTAATTATTGGTATGTCAAGATTGGGTTACACAAAACTATTATAATTTTATATTCCCATTCTCATTAAAACATATTTTTAATTTTTCTAAAGTAAAACTGTACCTATTTATGTAAAACAATTATTATCTCCATAGAGGGTCACAACTGCAAATGAAGAAATCATAGAAGTCTTACTATCTAAAAATCACCTTCTCCAAGCTCTGAGGTTTCTGCGAACTGTTGGTCTTGTTGAGGGCGCTTCAGCAAGGAAGTTCTTAGAAGCGGCTTTGAATACAGGAGACAACAGCTTGTTCTACACAGTTTTCAAATTCTTTGAACAACGAAACATGAAGCTAAGAGGCAATGCTAAGTTTATGCCAGGTAATTTGATTTTGTATTTTTCAGTTTACATTCATTTAATTTTACATAATTATATTATTTGACTTTTTTTTTTGCTTTTTTGATTTATGTGATTGTAAATTGTATTTTTAATCTTGTATTTTTCTTTGTGTGGCCACAATGGAAATGAGTCGATTTGTGTTACTTTTAGTGCACCCCAATTTTTTATATTTGTTATATATCTTGTATTTATCTGAGAATTTTAGTCAAAATAATATTTTAAATTAAATGGATTATGTCATTTGTCAGTGTAATTGTTATTGCCGTTCTTACAGTATCATTTCTTTTTTAACACAAATGTCTAATGAAAGAAATGAGTTCAAAAACATTTTGGTATTGGTGTTAACAATAGGGTGCCTTCAAATGCAAAAATTAATTCCACGGCACAGGAAGGGCCAAAACTATATATTGTGTATAAAACATCGGGGACGAGTAAATCTGTGGTTTGGTGGTCTAGTCATTACGATTGAAATCAAATGGCATCAGTGGGGGTGATCATAATTTTGATCACAATACACAATATTATTAAGACAATATTATTTAATATAAAGAATGTTTTTCCTGATATTATATTGTTTTGTTTTTCTTTTGTTTAGGAGAGCACTGTGAAAAATATGTAAAAAGAATGGAAGCCATATATGGAATGAAGTCAATCTCAGTAAGCAGCTGATGCAACCAGGGGATGACACAAGACTACTATGAATCTATGAAGTTCTGATATTATAGTCTGAAAGATACTTGGCTTCTATTGCAGGGACATGTGTTCAAATCATACATTGGCCAGCATTTTAAAAACTCATAATCGTTTGCATCAAGGCTTCAAAAAGATCAGATTTTTCTACTCAGCAAAAAACTCAAAGGCATTGGCTCACTAAGGGCTGGTTTCTGCTGCCAAAAAAATACCGTATATATACGGTATTTTTTTTTGCAGCAGAAACTGGGTTTATACCGTATTTTTCCCCACTATTTTTGTGGAATTATTCCGGTATTTTGCAACAGATACCGTATTTTTCATACCCCATTTCTGCTGCCTATAAAAATACCGTATTTTTTATGACCCCTGACTTGAGGTCAAGAGACAACAGAGCATGACACTTGTTGTGTTTTGATTTTTCTGTCAGCTTGTCGAAATGAATGAAACCATGTTAATCGAGAAGAAGGAAACTCACTACACAGGTCAATTCAAACTTCCGTCTCATGAAAGGCATTTTGGGTAATAAAGGGGACCGTTTGAACAAGACCAAGAAGTACTTTTAGCAGAAACGGCACACTGGGTATATTTAATACCGTATTTTTAGGAAAAGCAGCAGAAACAAACTCAAAATGGCGGTTATAAAGCACAAGGTTACAAGTCAATTTAGCCCTTAACTTTCCAAGCCATGTTGAAAGAATTGGTTATTAAGTATCATTGAACTAAGACTATCAGATCTTTACTGCTCATACGTCACCAGAGAGACTTGGTTATAGAGCACCTGAGACCTGTTCTAAATGATCAAAATTACCTTGTATGATAAAAAAAGTAAATAATTATTTAGATTGTGCTCTATAATATTGCATTTTCGTTTAGGCAGTGGCTATTGTTACTCCAGTCTTAAACCAGTTCTTAATTCTGATTAGACATTATTGTATGTATGCATTGGATTAGGATAACATCCAATCAAAATTAAGAATTGTTTTAAAACTGGTGTAACCCGAACCATTGCTATCTAATGCCAATTTCAATTGGAATGTATAGTAAAGTAAAGGTATTGTTGATATTCTCCAATTTTATGTTTAATATTGTAATTTAATAATTATAATTATGGTTATCAACAAATTATATTAAATATATGTTTATTATTTTATACACTATTTGTAATTTATGTTTCAATTAGTGCTTTGCTAAATCTTGTCATATGTCCTCTAGCTTCATATGGGTGCATAACCGGCTAGGGCCTCAATTAACTGATACCATCTTTCTCTGTTCTGCGCCATCTCAAAATCTAAAATTTAGGTACTTAAAGCAAGACTCCTGAGGGGGAAAACATTGATATGCTTTATAACTGATTTTTCTGAGACACAAAAAGGGCGTTTCACAAAAAACTCGGAAACGGCTAATGATATATAGATCTTTGAATATTTAAAAATGGGTGGGGTGGTTAGCACCTTCCATTGTGTTTGTCGACCAAAAACATCTCCACTCACTAATCCTCACTATGTGACATAATTGACTTGTAACGTTTTTTTATATGTTGAGAAAAGATTTTCACCTTACTAAAGTTATTTAAAAAATTAAAAATAGAAAACGAACAATACTGGTAATCAGGAAAAAAAAACAGGCCATCGAGATAAAAAGATTTACACTCACTACCGAAGATTCATGTGCATTAGTTTTAATTATAATTGCTACATAGTGATTACACCATAATATATTGAACAGCGCCATCATACAGCACAGCCTAATAAATGCATTCACCTCAATTTTATTGCATGCTTAGTAGCCTTACCTGCAGTATATAATAAGCTCTTTATTGGAGTTTGGAACACTGCATAGAAACCGATGCTATACAACGTGTAAATGCATTGACCATTACATCTGTTGTACCCTAGTGTTAATATGAAATTTATATCCACAAAAATTATTATCGTATCATATGATGTACTTGCATACGCTACTGATATTCAGTACATGTATATCAAATATCAATGTTTTATTTGATCGTGTTATTAAATTCAGATTATAAATTTGAAATTGTTCAACTCTTATCTCATCCGAACATAGAGTTTTGTCGTATAATAGAAATGCTCAAACATGGTATCAAACAGCTTCATTTTGTACATAACATCGGTATGTTGCGAGCTAAAGCATTACTAATTAATTAGTGACAGATATAGAGTGGGCTTCGTCAGATATTCGCTCTTCACTAGCCAGTTGTCTTATCCACAGTGTGCCCAAACTAAGCATATTAAATTAAAAATTCATAAAACTACTACTAAATTTATATATAATTATTCATTTCCCACCAATATCTATGCAACGACTATAGCAAAAAGCGTGTTAGACCTCGGTATTATAAAGTGGTATTCAACCATTTAACGTATGTGAATACTATCAAATTTTATGTGACAAATTTGTGTGACGTTACCATATATAGGCATGATGATGTCATATGACGCCCCAAAAATAATGGACATTATCATTGTTATTTGTCACATTAACTCTGACAGTGTAGACACAACTTTTGACCACACAATGCGCAAAGTTATTTAACCGCGTACTAAGGCAATCAACATCTTCTTGTAATCGCCACTCGTGTCATCTTTAATCCACTGAGACATTGGTTTTCCGTACAAGCTCAGAAACTCCAATTTTGCGGTGCCAAGATCGATCTGTTTGAGAAAATAAGACCTCCAAACTTATAATAACAGTTGAATGGCTTATTTCAAAACAGCACATGTCTATCAACTTTCAATTTGTCATAGGTAATGACGCATATCATTAAAATTGCCCGCCCGCCCACTCCCCATCAGTAGCAGCAAATAAATTATAAATCTAGCTATTGGTAACCCCTTCCCAAACCCACTGCCCTTCACCCACATGGCATTCATTAATTAACCCTTTTCCCCATCCCTTTCCGACAGAAACATCCCCGACTTCTCCTCCGATCATGACGGGAAAAATAAATTTAAGAAAATTAATGCAAGGGGCGCAACCACAGTGAGCGAATAAAGCTCGATCGGCGCCATCGTCTGCATCATTAGTTAGCATCCTCCTTTCAGCTCCCCTTCATCCACTTTCCCTTAATATTAAACGTTAGTGTCTACTTTACACCCTCCTCAGGAGCTCTATTTTGATATGTTGGCCTGACCCCTTAAGTCTACTTTACATGGGCACAATATGAGCAGGGGATAGAATTGTAACCACGCATTAAACTGTCTAAGCGTGTGAAACTCACCTCGGATCGGGAGACGATGCATCGGATCAGTTGGTCGTCTTTAGTTCCCGCACCACTCATTGCATCGTGAATTCGATGGGCGAAATATTGGGGTGTATTTCGAGCGCATCCAACTGAAAACAGCAATATTGGAAGTAGTAAACAATAAACACAATTTGGATCGATGGGCGAAATATTGGGGTGTATTTCGAGCGCATCCAACTGAAAACAGCAATATTGGAAGTAGTAAACAATAAACACAATTTGGATCGATGGGCGAAATATTGGGGTGTATTTCGAGCGCATCCAACTGAAAACAGCAATATTGGAAGTAGTAAACAATAAACACAATTTGGATCGATGGGCGAAATATTGGGGTGTATTTCGAGCGCATCCAACTGAAAACAGCAATATTGGAAGTAGTAAACAATAAACACAATTTGGATCGATGGGCGAAATATTGGGGTGTATTTCGAGCGCATCCAACTGAAAACAGCAATATTGGAAGTAGTAAACAATAAACACAATTTGGATCGATGGGCGAAATATTGGGGTGTATTTCGAGCGCATCCAACTGAAAACAGCAATATTGGAAGTAGTAAACAATAAACACGAAACATCCCGGAAAAAATAAATCTAAGAAAATTAATGCGAGGGGCGCAACCACAGTGAGCGAGTATAGCTCGATCGGTGCCCATCGTCTGCATCATTAGTTAGCATCCTCCTTTCAGCTCGCCTTCATCCACTTCCTTTTAATATTAAATGTTAGTGTCAACTTTACACCCTCCTCAGCAACTCTGCTCTATTTGGTATGTTGGCCTGACCCCTTAAGTCTACTTTACATGGGCACAATATGAGCAGGGGATAGAATTGTAACCACGCATTAAACTGTCTAAGCGTGTGAAACTCACCTCGGATCGGGAGACGATGCATCGGATCAGTTGGTCGTCTTTAGTTCCCGCACCACTCATTGCATCGTGAATTCGATGGGCGAAATATTGGGGTGTATTTCGGGCACATCCGACTGAAAAACAGCAATATTGGAAGTAGTAAACAATAAACACAATTTGGATTTATTATTTGGTGTAAACACCAAGTCCAAAAGAAGACGTATTCTCAGTGGGGTCCTTCTGGTGTTGATTGGAAGCCCGGGAGACAATCCCCTACTCTTTTCCGAAGAGTGTACTGCGTTCTTTCACGTGCACATGGGCCTAATGCATACCGGACTATTACGGCTTAAACTCTCATCCGAAAAACGGTGCCTTATCGTAGCTTGCATTTCAGCCCTCCAGCTGAAACTCCAAGGAGAGATGCGATGGGAATTGAACCGGAGACCTAGAGATCTTCACGATTCAGCGCACACACAGCGGCCACCACCAGTTTAGCCGACTAAGCTAAGCTACTATCTCGCAATACAATGCAATAAATGTTCGACATTAAGTTATATAGGATGGTAATGGTGACGACGATCGTCATCAATATTATCTAACGGCTAAATAATTATCATTAATAATGATGATGATGTTTTTTGATGATGCTGTCAATGGAGTACGATACAGAACGTCAGAATCCTTTTAAAACATCGGGACTCGTGACTATTATTGGGAATGTCCGTACAGATGGTACTAGAAGCTTACTTATAGCGAGGAAACCGTCCTTCAGATCGCCTGATGTTTCACTCTTAATTGCTTCCTCAATGGTCTTGCTAGATATCTGGAACAAGAAACCAAACATTTAGCATATATTTCCATGATAGACTGGTTACTATGCCTACACTACAATTCCATCCTTCTCTTTTTTTAGGTAGTAACTTTAACTTAAATATTTATTAATAAATATTTAAGTTAAAGTTCCTACCTAAAAAAAGAGAGTAACTTTAACTTAAATATTTATTAATAAAATCATATTACACTTGGCATTTACACTACTAGCACTACCCCTTAAGCAGGCCTTACAGTTTTCTAAAAACTTGAAATTACCCTGGCGTAAGCGTCAAATGTTGCATTCAATTGCGGCCGACTTCTTGTTGCTAAGACTCGGAGTATTTCTGACTCGTCGGTCCCCCATTTTAGTTCACCAGCCTGAAAGGTTAAAAAATCTTAACACATGTAGTTCATATCCATACTCCAACTGCATCAAACTGGGACTGAATACGAATCATTATTTCATTATTTTTGCTCTCACCTTGGAGTGTACATCTTTTTAAATTTCATTCGTCTCCCACCAGTTAGTCCCAAGTAATGAAAAGCAAACATATAAAAATGTCTTTGACCAAGTAAAAAAATACGGGACATGTTCCAAATAATGACTCCCGGCGTGGGAATTACCAGGTAGGAAGGACGAATTCTCCCTGCACTCACTATAACTTGGTTATAGAAAATCATTCAAATTAGTCTTTTAGTACCGCCATCCGCCACTATATATTCCTCCTCCAAGTCGGGTATGGTATGGGCATTGCAGCCAGTGCCAAGTTCTTGGGCCTGGGGCTATTATAATTATCGATGATTATTGTATTAATTTCAAATGTGTATTCTTTGAATTTTTCTTAACAAAAACTGAAAACGTTAATCAGTACGTAAACTCATTTAAATTCACGCAAATACTGCTCTTGTAAAGCTAAAACAACGGAGCTCAGCCAGGGAGGAAAAGGAGAGTCTACCATCCTACTTGGCAAGTTCCTCTAGTAGTACCCGGATATAAAAGCTTATTGTTTGCACTTAAGGAGCTAGGATGCATTTAGCACAAGACTGGATTTTCGATTTTGTATTAATGTTTTATATAGTGTTTTTATTGTTTTTATTTTATTCGTATTCTTTTAATTTTTTATTATTTATTTGTTTTATTTTTATATTTTCAACTGACAGAATATATTACAGAAGTAATGAATGTCTGAACTGATAATTTGTAGGTTCCATATCACTTTCTATGATGAAGAGATATTATAAATAAATGTTTATGTCCGACATCTGTATGCATTGAAAATATGACGATGACGATAATGTCGCCAAACCCCCAACAGTAACTTCAGATCAAAGGGCCCGGTAATTAATTTTGCACAGGGACCTGACACCACTTAGCTAGGCCGCTACTTCATCATCACTTAATTTCCCATAGTAAAATAAGGAAAACTATGAACTCGAGGTGTATTTATTTATTAAGACGTCTCAGAATGCAGGAAAATGTATTTCCAGGGATCTAGAAAACTAAAACTTTCCAGATGATGTCCCTCAGAACCAACCCCCCACCTCCATCCCTTCCAAACCGTCTAAAATGTGTCTTTTAGCGACAGAACAACCACAAATTACGCTCTCTCCTCTCGACCCTGCCAAGGACCCCATCTGTGTTCGATTTTAATCTAAAGTACAACTAATAGGCCTACTGTTCTCACATTGTATAAAGATTCATTATAATGAATAATAGAAGCTTTGATAACTTTGTGATAAATTGACTATCGTCGATCAATTTGGCGATCCGGAAAATTGCAAAATTTACTCAGTTTATTCGACTAATATTATGTGCCGCAATTTCGTAACAGAATACTGTTCTCTGGAAGGCTGAAATGTAAGTTAGAATAGTTCACTGTCTTTCTGATGAGATGTTTAAGCCGTTGGTCCCTTGTGCATTAATGGCCCATGTGAACGTTAGAGAACGCAGCACTCTCTTCGGAAAAGGGAAAGGGATTGTCTCCTGGCGTACTGCCCAATCACCACCAGAAGGACCCCACTGGAAATACTGTAACAGTAATACAGAATATTGTAAGTGCAATAATGCGCTTACTAAGTTTATTGATGCCTACCTGGTAAATTGCATTGGCGTCGGCATTTGCTTTTCCCTCGTCGACGGCAGTACTTTCATCCCGAGCAGCCTGAAAAAGAAATGTCCAAGAGTGTCTTGATTAAAAAAATAAATAAACACGAGACACAGAAATTTAGAATTTACGATGGAAAGGGAAAACGAAAATAAAATCAGCTTCCTGGATGTACTATTTAAAGAACTAAATAATGGAAACTTAAAATTGTCCACGTACAGAAAACAAACATTCACCGGATTAATGATGGGATTCCTGAGTTTCCAATTTTCTACCGGGATCAGGGAACACTTAGTGTCAGATAAAAATTCAAACATACTCAAACATGTCAAATAGCAATCCTAAGTGCAAATCTAATTAAAATAGAGAAAGTTTTAAAATCCTAGATCAGGCCAACAACAGTTTTCAACTTAAAATTAAAGAGGTGCTCCATATGAAATGGACTGAGCCATCACTCAACAAGTGCAGCATTACAACATCACCCTATGCCTATAATGGAATAATGTGTCACGTTGTAACTTTTCTTACGAGTTGAGGCAAATTTCAAACCACCTGCAGTTCAATCCACGTATAAGATTCTTTTGTTTTGTTTTATTTTGATCACTGATGATATATGTGTGATACAGAAGAAACATTTCTGATTTTTCTTTGATAAATCTTGGTTTATTGCACTTAAATTCGTGTTGCTTTGGGTTTCTTGCGATCGTTTGGTTCTATAATATTCATGATTTGCACAACAGTGATGTTTGTAAACAAGGTTGCAGAAGATTGGAAAATTTTCACAAACAATTAGGAAAAGCTGAAGCTGACATTAATTTTCTTAACATATATATATATATATATATATATATATATAGGCTTATATATATATTATATATATATATATTTGTGTATATAAATGAAGTTTGCTTTCCTTTGATAGGATTATTACATGTTCCTATTTGAACAATGTTTATTTATCTATTTACTTATACATACACACACACATATATATAGTATTTACCTTTATTTGATGATTTATGTATATAATTTAACAGTGTTAACGGCTATCTTGATTTATATATATATATATATATATATATATGTATATATATATATATATACATATAGTAAGTCACTATCGTAAACTAAATTCCTCACCTGACAACAGGAAACCATGAGGCGTTTGAAATGACCGCTGGTTTCACTCATAAGATCCTTCTCCAAATCGCGTTTGTTTACTAAACAGGAAATTGACACAGTATAACAGTAAAAAATTCATTAAAAACATTAATATTTCATGAGCTTTTTATATGACAACAGCTACACGCTTATTAAATATGAACTCAATAAATATTAGACGACACTTTGACTATTCTATGATAAACATAAGTAAGAAGATGTTGATGTATCTGCGGTATGCAGTAACACCATTGAAAGGAAAAACTGTTAGGGCCTACGACGAAAAAAAATATCTTATATTCTGATGATATGCTTCCCCCTCTAACTTTGTAAGAAAACAATTAAACGATACAATTAAACAATTTCTTTCGTCATTACTTTGGAGCGTTTTACCGTATGGTCACAAAAAAAGACCTTATATATTGTAATAATACGCCCGCACCCCCCCCCCCCACCCCTAACTTTGTAAGTTGATAAATTTAGGTATGCACTAGTTTCGTTAACAGTAAACCAATCCTTTTGCAGGAAAACGATGCCGGAAAATTATGCGCCCGCACATAGCTCTTGACATCTATATATCTCTAGCATATATGTTGACACCGATTATTGGTTTACCTTTTTTGTAGGCTTCCTTGATAGCTTTAATTTCCTGTGAAAGTAAGACATATATCATATCACTTATTTTGTTTGTTATTACAAACATTTAGAATATAATACAAAACAAGAATATAAAGTTTTTAAAAAAAAGCACATAAGAAAAATAAAACAAGGCAAAGAAATTAGACTAGTTTAATGTCCTGGAGTTCTTCGCTTTTCATCTGACTTAAATATAAGAAAGTTTTATTGATTACAAATTAATTCTGAATTTTTTTTACAATAATCGTCTGTTATAGGCCTATACCGCAGCAACAATAAGTCAATTATTCATAGTTAGCACTACGCATGCTTGCAGCAACGTCAATTGACATAAACACACAGTAAACACATAGGTTCATGTCGATTGACTTTGGATACGGGCATGTTCCGTTCTAACTACAAATTGGCTTATTTACCCTTTAATAATCATTGTGCTTTCGGTACAAAATGTGGCATACAGTAAATCCCCAACGTTTTGATTAGTCAGTTAAGTCTTCAGAGGGGAAGAATGACGAAGACCTGTAAAGGATGGCCTTATAAAGCTGGTAGAGGTTTAATATTTATTCTTTCAAAGATAATGGGCGTTATAAGCCGTGTTTGTTCATATTTCCTGCGCAAGTGAAGCTACAAGAGAGAAAAAGAAAACTTTATCTGATACTCATCAAGGATGGTGCTTACACTGTTTGAACGTGTGCACATGATCTCAAGTAGTGCCTTTTCGTCAGTTCCAGCGCCCTATATTTAAACCAAGAAACACATCATGTAGACAATCTTAGTAATTATATTTTGAAAATAATAGGCCTATCTAGAAATGTCAATACGCAATAATTATAAGTATACTTCAATCGTTTTATTGTATAATTCATCAACTATATTCCATCTATATTGATTTATATTAAATTATTTAACATTTGATTTAAAACCATACTTAAATCATCACCGTTATTTGTTGGTATTATTTATCAACATAAATTTGTAGTTTGAAGTATAATTTTACTAATTACCTTCATTGCCTTTCGTAGGGACTTGGCGTCATAGACAGCCGGCTTATCGAGTAGTGCTAGTACTATATCTTCATATTTTCCACCCAGCTCGCTTTTTAAATCTGCAATCAAATCCTGAAGACAATAACACTCATTAATTATTCAGGTATTGCTCTATATGGCATACACATTACTAAGTACGGTGACTGTCTACTTTCAATGAGATTCAATCAACCTCAAGCTCATTGATTCGTGTTCAAATATTAATCTAAAGCTGGTTTTTCACTAGGCGAATTTATTCGCGCGAATCAAAGTGTCGGTTCGTTTCCAGAACTCTGATTGGTTGCGCATTTTTTCCCTTCGCAAAAACTCCGATAGGAATGTTCATGCGCATGTGCATGAACCGACGCTTTCGATTCGCGCGAATTATTCGCCTAGTGGAAAACCGGCTTAAAGCTCTGTCGAGCTATCAAGACATGTAACATGCCTAAAATATTGTCATGATTACATCACAGCATGACCATATTTAGGCACGTCATGACTTTAGATTTACAAACAGCAGTTTGTCAAAGCATATTTGATAGTCAGGACAGGGTTTTAAGCTCTGTTCACACGATCAAATTTTCTTCGACAAAAAAACTGACGTATGCCCATATAAAGTCACGATGTGTCTGTATGGTCATGGTGTGATGTCATCATGTGATGTCATCATGATAGTCTGAATGTCACTAAAGTAGGATAGTCTGCAAGTCATGTAAATAATTAACGAAGCAGTGTGATTATCATGTGAATGCATAACAGGGTGTTAAGTTAAAAATTACGTAAACAATGTGGAGCTATTATAATAATAATAATAATAATAATAATTCTGGATTTTTATAGCGCCTCACGTTGTCACAACCTCGAGGCGCTTAACAACAACAATAATAATAATAATAATAATAATAATAATAATAATAATAATAATAATAATAATAATAATAATAAAAATAATAATAATAATAAAAATAATAATAATAATAATAATAATAATAATAATAATAATAATAATAATAATAATAATAATAATAATAATAATGTGGAATATGGTGATGACGGTGATGATAATTGTATCATTGATGATATCAATTATGATGATGATGACGACGACGACGATGATGATGATGATACGAAATGATTATGATGGTGGTGGATGACGATAATGACAACGACTACCATAATGATAATAACAACCGTTGAAAATCACCTTTCCATACGCAGTTTTAAATTGAAGAACAATTTCTTGCCTCTGGGCGTTGGATCGATAAGCGAGCACATCCGTTATTGCTTGCTCGTCCGTTCCTGTAGAAAGATACATAACGCGCGTAAGAATCGTAACCCACTTATCATTACTTTTTCCCAGGCGTTCACTGTTCCCTGCTTTTTCCTATCTTGTATTGCTGACTCACGAGGCACCCAGTGTGGCTACCTGTAAACTCATGTCTGATGAAAGCGTTGGCTCAATGACCCAACCAGTACACAAGATGCAGTGCAAGATACTGTATATTTTGTGCTAAATTTAAGAATTAATTACCATAATTTAAGAACTCATTTCTATACAAATCCATCTATTGTTTTTGTTGTTGTTGTAATTATTATTATTATTATTATTATTATTATTATTATTATTATTATTATTATTATTATTATTATTAATTGGAAATATATTCCCGCCAATCAACAGACATAAAGTAGTGTTGTTCCTTCTGCGTAGACGGTTGAGTAATGCTGTTAGTCAATTTAATGGCTTAAATAATAATAAGTTTGTAGATAAATATTTTACGAATTATGAAGTTGATAATTTGATTCTTTAATTATTCTTAAATATTTTTAAAAGTTAATACACTACGGTAGGTGTTAACTATAGTCCTACATTACATACAATAGTAATTCATTGTTATCGTGTCGTTGTCGCGTCTAGTGTAAATGCAGCTTAAGTGTGCATTCCAATTTTCTTGAAACACTTTAATCTGGAAATATTTGTATTTGTTGTAGTAAAGTTAGTATTACATTGTATTTGCATAATATGCCATCATATATATCATTATCATTTATTATCTATAATATTAAGGCAATTAGGTGGCAGCCGCATTTATTTTCATTAGCATTGTTATACTTGGATATGTGGATTTATATTACTGGAAACCAATGACGTATCTAGTAGGAGAGGTTACGCCCCTTTTCCCCCGGTTTTAAATATTCGAAGATCTGTATCTCATTAACCGTTTCCCGAGTTTTTCGTCAAAAAACTTTCTTGTGTCTTAGAAAATTAATTCTACAACAAATTTTTAAAAATGCTGTTCCCTCCGGAGTCTTTAACAGACTCCGGACTTTAACAGACTTCTAAAACAAAAAAAGGTCAATTTGTGACTACTAGTATTATACTCACCCAATCCCTTCATGGCCTTTCGCAGAGCTGCTGCGTCTGCCTCCTTGTCGAATCCAGCGTAAGCGGTTACGGTTCCCTAAGAATTGTAATGAGCAGACATGTATTAGTATAATACATAGAAGTGTGAGGATCCTGACCCCGGGGCCTACTACCCTGGAGGCTGGGTGCCATGTAGGACCCAGAGGGGTCCGCTCCGGCGTTTCTTGACATTTTCAAGAGCTGTTTTTTTTCCCCTTTTTTTTAAAGTTCTGCTCCTTAAAAGTCCGATTTGCTCGGCCGATTTGGGGCCGATTAATTATATCGCCGTCAGGTCCTGGACCCTTGATTTTAGCCAGTGAAAGCTCATTGCTACGCAGAACAATCTTTGAATAGATGTTTAAATTCAGAAGAATTTTCATAATGAACATCCTGGGGCGGATAAATGATTTGGCGGTAGGGGGTGCGGGAGAGTCGAACCAGGACCATAGTGGGACTGAGGTTAGAATATTTTAAGAATATAGACCTCTATGTTTTCGGAAATGCACTCTCATACCTTTAAAATCTTAACGGTACTCATGTTTTCAATTTAAGGGGATGCGATCG